GCTCTGATGAAGGTGAACAGAAGCCACCGAAAATTTAGTACACACAAAAAAAGATCGATGTAAGTAAACTTCTTCAAAATGCCTATCGTATTTACACCCTCTTACAGGCCAGAACGCCAAGAAAAGGTGACAAGGCTTAAACAATTTGGGAGAGTTGTGCATGAAGCAGTTTTTGCAACGATTTTCCTTAACTATTTCTAGTTCTACGTTGTTTGCACTTGCCAAGCAAAGTAAGAATCTAGGAGCGTACAAGATGGCTCGTACCGCTTACGACAAGTTACAGGTATGCGAGGGTTGTCATTGTCACCTTGAAGACAAACTTTTACGTAGCCTGTTCCAGGCTCTCGGTCAGTGGGAACGTCCCCACTGACCGATTTGACCGAGAGCCTGGAACAGGCTTAATATGACACAACTGGACGTCCAGTCATTCCCAAAAGCACCTCATGGTTTTGAAGTAATAGGGTGGTACAGAGACACAGTAAGAATTACTGGGCCAATTCTAAAGTTGTTGAAATGATGTATGATAGTTCTTTCTTTTTGTTTGCTTTTTCTAAAGTCGTTGAAGATTCCTCCACGTTTTCAAGAAGCCATTGACTTGGGGAGTGTTACCATTCGCTCTAAGCCTTTCCACGACAGCGAGGTAGGTTAAAAATCGATTAACAAGCCTAAAACTTTGTCATCTACTCGAAGTAAAGTTCCAAGAACACCATTGTCGCACAAAAAGCGTCCGGAACCTGCCAAATAAGAAGCAGTCAACAACATACCCTTTTAGGCCTTCTCTTCCCCTTCAGAATCCCATTTTCAACTCACATTGACGGCAAAGATGTGAGAAGTCCGTCTTAGGCTTGCATATTAATTCGTCACCAAGTGATCTTTTGTGACACGAAACATGAAGTTAGTTTCGCGTCTTCAGTGCGTGTTTGCCTGCTGAATGCATTTTCATCGTCACTTGCTTGAGTTTCTGTCATACTTGGAGTACAGTTCTGGAAAATCATACCAGTATCGGTGGACTTTGCAGTCTGGCCACAGACCTTCTATGTTGTCTTAAGTTCGTCGAGATCGCAAGCAAAAGTATTAACCGCAGCGGATGTGAAAAAGCTCGAACACAAGAGGGAAATATAACTCGTACCAGAAGTATGGTTTTTAGTACTGACAAAACGTTATTGTCTTTCTGTAGGAACTGCTTCCTCTTTGCTACCGATGTTCCACTACGAATCCTCTCTTGAACAACAAAGGCAACCATTGTATTAACTGTAGGCAGCCATTTGTCTATTCGTTCTCATCGTTCGGTGAGTTTGACTACGGCCTAATGTTCCACAGGGTGCCCTTTCAAACCCTCCCTCTCCCGAGCAAAATTAACTTTAATCAGTGCGACGTTTTTGCAAGAAAATGTCTGTGTTTTATTTACCTACTTTAAACTGTATACTTACAGCTTTTGGTTTAGACTGCGAGTCTGTAACCCTCCAAAAACTTTGTGAATTTCTGCACTCTTTAGTCATAGCAGGACAGCTGAAATACATTTAGATATAAAATCCTTTACAATTGGTTTAGTATTTTTTTCTGTCGAGCTATGATTGGTTTATCACTCTATTCACACTGACTGGCTTTAGGACTACTTTGGGTGTTGTCAGAAAACCTCATGAATTGTTTACATTGGTGTACAGAATGCACTAAATTAATGAACTTTTTGTGTTTGTTTCAGAGGTGCTTCCATTAGTGGAGTTTGTCTTGGAGGATGGTATCAGGTAAAAGTTAGAAAATAGACAGGAAAATATCCAAAGTATTCATATGAAGATTAGTTATTATTATCATCTTTATTACCTTTGTGGTATCGTTATCTATCTCTATAGCCTCTGTTATTATGTCACTGTCGTCACATAGTGCAGGTAGTTTTTGCGTACTGAGTAATTTTTAAGGTTCACCGGGAACTTTATCGCTTTGTGACTTTTGACGCCCTGTGTTCTCCATTAATCAAATCAGGTCATTTGGAGAGCATCATTTTATGACATGATCGACTGACTGATTGCATATCAGCTTATTTAGTAATCCCCTCGTCCTTGAAAAAAATAAAATGACTTGAAGAAGCTAGCAATACAAGCACACTCCTCGGCCGAACTATCCGCGTGTGACACCAAGCGTGACATAAAGCATGACACAGAAAATTGAATTTTGTTCTCTTGCTATTCTAGTGACGAGGAAGCTTTGAAATTGATTGAGATAGAACCATCAAGAGGCCCAGAAAAGAAGCGTTCTAACTGGCAGGAGAGAGACATGGGCAGTATCCTTTGTAGAAATAAATCCGTTCTTAATTTGTTTCTCAATGAGCACACGTTTTGCAGCAAGAGGTAAAAAGTGAAATCATTTGCCGGGCAGACCACCATCGTAATTGATGTCAAGAAATATGTTTCCCCGGGTGTTTTGAACGTCAGAGTCACACCTTATCAAATAAGTTTTGTTTCCAGATGTAAGGTAAATATTTTGGCACTGTGCACAAACTATAGGTTATCTTGAGTGCGAATTACACGAGGTATTCCTTGACCACTGATTAGACTTCCAGTCCCTGCAGTTGACAGATGAACCCCCCGAAGAAGAGGAAGAGGATCCTTTCACTGCTAAGCTGATGAGTTTTGAGGTGAACCTTGAAAATTTTTTCATTCCTTAACATAAAATGCGCAACTTCGTTAAATTAAAATGCGTTTCGAAGTCTTGATGTTACACCAGCTGAGCAAAGCTTCACCGAACTTTTCGTTGTGACAACATTTTTCTTTAAAAAAACCCTCAAAACAACATGGCCGGAATTTTAAGAAAAGCTGCTCTGCCGTTCGTTGGTTGTTACCCCAGAGTTATCTCACAAATCCCTTCGGCGCGCACAAAGAATTTGATGTCGGAGTAGAAGTCTGGGCGCCAGCTGGATGTAACTTTTTAAAACTCTTGACATTGTTTATGTCGGGAACTTTTGCTGAAGGCAGAAGATTTAAGAGATCATTATCAGCAAGACTCACAGTTAGTCAGGAGTTTGAATGAGGTTGAACTTTTACCGAGAATACGAACATACTGGCTGTGTTTACACACACTATTTGTAGGGACAATTGTGTAAGGTAGAACCAAAATTAACATACCTTTTGCCCCATTATGTTGCAGTGAAAGTTGATGATCTTCGTTATTCTTTTTGCCCTTTTACTCGACAATGTATTGATGATGTAAGGAGAAATCAGATGTCGATTTAACAATCGATGGCACAGTGAACGCAAAATTTTATTGAATTAATTTAATTTGCGATCTAAAATGAAGGCAAACGTTCAAGAAAAAGCAGTCAAGATAATTACTAACAAAAATCCCGTTTCTGTTAATTTCTTTCCATTCGCGTTAAATAACTAACAGTTAGAATAACTCTACTCTTACGTAATTTTTATCACTTCTCTCCTCTGGTAAAAACGCTCGCGAATTTTATTTGTGTACGAAATTATACAAGCATGTGATGGCGCTTGGTTTAATCAGCTGAGGTGGTGTGATCGACGGTTTAAAGGTCAAGGTTTTTAATATTGGTTTCTCAGCAACAGAGTCGCGCCGAAAATATTCACAGTATTACTTACATGATATTCTGCTTGAACACGAAAACTGTCGACAATTCCGTCAGAAAAATGCAACCTAAAATTGAGTTAAATTGAAATTAAGTGCCTTAATCTGAGTTAGAACTAGACTGCAAAGCAGTCTCGTTTTTGTTTCGTTTTACTATTTTTTAGCGACAACTTATGAGGCGGCGCCAAGCGCCGAGTGTTATGCATAAAACACGAAGCGTCGATCGTCACGCGCGAACACGCGTGCGCCTCGCAAGAGGAAAAATTTCACTGTCTCCTCTCCAATCCCACTCGAAGTTTTCACGCGCGTTTCAAGAACGGGCTTGCACACACAACAGCAAACTCGCGCTAAAATTTAGACTATTTTGAAGTTATAGCTTGCACAGAGCCAACGTGACGATAGAGAGGGGTTTTTGAGTCTATAGAAATTCAAGAATGCCGCAAATTGAAAGCTCTTTCTAGCGTTTGGTTTGTGTGTAAGCCGAATATAACATTTTAGGTTTAATTTAACTGCGACGCTTTCGTCTGTTGTCCTACTCTCTTAGTTCTTTTATAAACGTAAATGGCAAAGTTAAGCTTACTGTTAATTCTGTTTGCTTTTAATTACGAATAATTTCAAAAAAATCCATTAGAGAAATGAAAAATGTTTACAGCAAACGTGAAACTGGTCACTTTACAAAGAAACCGCAAACAACGGTCACCGCACCGCCGGGACACGGCGCTCTTTTCAGTGAAAAAATAAAACGTTCATTAATTGCCAGGGCGTTGGCTGTCGGCTCGGTTTTGCTTTTTGTTCAGCAGCGAATTGCTTCAAAATGTACCGCTTAAAAAGTCTTTAAAGACACCGTCTTGTTTCTTTGGAGTTCGAAAGGAACAGCGATTTCCATATCATTTTTATATGTTGAAAGGTTTTGTTTTATCCGCAACAACAAAGGATTGCTCGGAAAATGTCAAAATAATACGCTTCGTTATTCCTTCCCCAGCTGTTTAATCTGAGTAACTCATCTTTTATCCTTTGTTCTCACAGAAAAACATCCTTTGCGCTCCTTGTGTCAAACGCCAATCTTGTATATTTGCTCTTTATATTTCATCCCAATGGTATAAATTCCTAAATGATTTTCGAGATCGCATTTCGATTTCTTTTATTTCAATTTTTAGCATTTTGTTAATTATCATTTTTATTTTATTTTATTTTATTTTATAGATAACGAGTATGCATTAATTTTTTTATCCAGTTCAATTGAATTTTGCGATTAACGTCGGAAGGGGGAAAGGCCGAACTTAAAGGGCCATCAATAACGTTGTGTTTTATTAAATTCTAAGTTCTTTTGCCTCAATATGTGTATGAATCAATTATTGTAAGGTTCATGATCAGCGTTCTCATTTAAGTGTCGGAAATCGTTTTTTTTCTTTTGTCGTGTGAATAGCCACAGAGAAAAGTACTCTGTCTGTATATTTCCTCAATCCCATTGTATCACAACCATTAATTAAGTGTTCTCTCAATTTGTGGCGTGAAATTTTATGAGTAATAGACACGATGGAAAGCAGGTTTGTAAACCAGTGCGATGCTGCCAAAAGCTGTTTTTCGAAATTTTTAAAGAAATTCGATCTGAGACCCACACATTTTCAAATTGAGCAATATTGTAATCCACTCACTCCATTATTGTTATTCTTGCTGGCATCCTAATGTGTTCCTATTATATGTCCAGTTCTGTTTTTCTAAATCAAGCCATTGTTGTCGGGTTTCGTGTAGACTACCAGCAGTCAGTTTTTTTTCCTGAAATCCTCCGCGCAATTAGAAGGGACTTAATCGAGACAGGAAAATTAAAATGAATTAAAGTAAATTATAATAAATTAAATTTAAATTACATTTTCTTTCTTTCCACGCCCGCGCTTCTCACCGCTGGATCGTTCCTCTTTTGCTTCACCTTTGTGAAAGTTTCGGGTGCGAGAAAAACAAGGGGAGAAAGGAAAGAGAGAAAAACGACTATTCCCCTCCCCCTATTATTTTTTGTTTGCTCTGTCTACAGCAAGGTGGATCTGAGTTCGTCCCAGTCCGCGTGGGTAGGTCAACATTGCAGGCCATGAACAGCCGTGAGGTAATGGTAAAGAAATGGCCTCCTCCGCTGAAATACCAGTACTATCGATCCTTGCTTCCTGATGTGTCCATCACGCTTTGTTCGTCATGTAACCGGGTAAGTGAAAGTGGTGTATCATTGTCTTTATCGTACAGGGGCAGCAGCTTCTGCTAGAGGCAAAATTACTGAACTCCGTGAGCCGAGTGCGTAATTACCACTACGAGTCCCGAACGGGACCCGAACGTTTCCGAAGCGAAGGAATTCCGAAGAGGACCCAAACGCTACTTACCACGTAGCCTGCGAACAGGCTCTCGTGGGTTGCGGCAGGAGCAAAGAGAGAGAGATGAGTCGGGGTTTTGAAGGAAATGTTTAAGGGGGAAGAGGTGACAAATATTTCAGTCACCCAACCTTGGCCTGAGATCGCTTCCTCTCTTTATCATCCCGGCTCGTCATTTATGTTATCAAGAAGAAGTTTTATAGTTCCACTTTTTTTTTCCAGAATTTCTGCAAATTTCTGCTTGGGCACTGAAAGCCCAGTCTTACTGTCCTCGTTACGATTCCCTCACATTAAGTTGATTTTTTCTCGAGACCTCTTCGTATGGACAAATGTCTTCAGTCCGTGATGTGTTCTCTGTATCCCTCTGTTTCAGTTATTCCACACAGATGACTATGAACTTCTGGTGTTACAGAAAAACTGTTGTCCCTTCTGCCGTAAACCCGCTGACCATCTTTAACACGTGACGTCATGATCAATCATTTCCTTTTTTAGCCCCAATCTCCCCTAGACTTTACTGTGCCTGCAGTCTGGTCTTCAAAGTTGCTAAGCAATATCCCATGTCCTCGTTACCGCATGCTGTTAGGACAACTTTGGAGTACTCGTTAGTTCAGCCTCGTCCAGGCGTTTAGTTAGTTGGGGCGCAGCGCGGTGTGAAGGCCCGATTTTCAGCCGCTGTTCGGGAAACGAGCCGGCGCTCCTCCCGGAATGGCGTACCAAAAAAATAGGGAGAAGAACTGCACCAAGCCGCTCTCTCCCTTTTTCGCTTCGCCGGTTTTTCGCTTTGCGCCCCGTTTGACTGAACGCCTAGAAGAGGCTATCGTTAGTGTTCCGGTTAGATTGGATTGAACGATAAGTTTGGAAAAGAAGTCGCATATTTATTAGAAGTAAAGGAAATTCTAATTCGAAATTTTAGTGTCGCGAAATATCGCCCGTCCAAAAACACGACATTCAATCAATGTAAACAATTTTATATAAGGAACCTCATAGGTTAAAGTGGGATTTTTTTCAAAGATAAGCCACTTAACCCTGTAAAAAGCTTTTCTGTCTGTGTATATATTGCAGTTCATCTCTTCCTCCTGTAAATACTTCGAAGAAAACAGTGACAGAAAAAATGTAATTTATATAGCAGAGAGAGCTCAATAAAAGCTGTCGTAAACGACATCAAAGGCGTCTAATTTGACAAACTTCCTACGAGACGGTAATGGTTATGTACGGGAAGTGAGGGAAGATGGAGTCGGTCAAGGAAAAGGGAGGTGAAGTGGTTGCGCTCCATTGTACAGTGATCGTGAAGTGCCGTGCTAGCTCTCATACCCAGATCCTTATTTATGTTATACCGGTTCTATCCTTCAAGTAAATTTCCTACGGCCCTCATCGCCCCTGTTCCCGTGGGGTGAACAGTTAGGGGTTGTTCTTTAACCTAAGCATTCGTTAAAATGTCATTGACTTTAACGAAGACCTTTATAAAGCAATTAAGGCTAACAATCGATACGCCAGCTTTGGGAAGTGTCCATGGCGGAGAACCTGAGGGTGCCCCGGTGGGGCATTGGAGATCAGAACACAATCACGCGTGCTCGCGTGCGGGTGATACAAGGCTTTTGTTTCTATTTTCACGACTTGCTCAACACGCCATTACACTGTGACCTGTTCCCTTACACAACACTGAAAACCACCAGTAAAGTTCTTGACCGACAAGGACCTGCTAATTTAAATACCTGCTGTAATTAACTGGTAGACAATGCGACCACCTCCTAAAGACCTAGTCAACTGAAACTTTTCGAATAGTTCTATCTTCGTTTCGCTCATCTTCTTGTTCTTTTCATACGTTATGCATCCAAATAACGGCGAAACTTTGTTCGTGGAAACTTACTAATATTTCAGGAGCGAAGAGGATGGAAAAGCTCCGACCTACGCAGATAAAATAATCTTCATCACAACAAAATTTTACTTTATTTTCTATTTTTTTTTTTTCACAGAGAGTACGAAAAGGCCTATCCACTTCGAATCTCCCCGTAATATCTGAACAAGAGAAGAAGGTCATCTTCAGCCGCACCCCACCCCGTGACAGTCACCCGCAGTCACTGCACGCGGACTGTACTGTAAACACGGACTGTGGTCTGTCAAAAGACTCAGTTTCCCCCCACCCATGATAGTCACTCGCAGTTAATGCACACGGACTGTAAACACGGACTGTGGTCTGTCACAAGACCCAGTTTCCCCGCACGGTCTGCCCTTAAGGCGGTCCTCTACCTAACATAAAAATTTTTCTCCAAAAAACCATTTTTTCGGAACATTAGGGTTCAACATCCCTAACCATTTGCAAATCGTATTTTGAAACGATTTTGCTGAACATTGTTTCCTCTACCATCTTATACGCTCCTTATACTTGGTTAACATTTCTATGTCTGGTGTGTATTCGGGTATTCAATAGGACATTTATGTAAAACCTTTCGATATACCCCCTCTCCCTGCCACTAACCCCCGCCCCGTTTCATAGGGCTAATTTGGGCTCTTGGAGACCAAAGTAAAACTAGCCTTTTTTCTCAAAATGACCAAATAGACGGATCACCAATATCTCGTATACGATATCTCCACTGGGTTTCAACCGAATGTTTTCAAATTTTCAAAATTGGTAAAGGACACAATTTTCTAGGTCGTAAACCTCCAAAATTTGCGATAAATGAATTTTTTGTCCCTGTTTTTCAGTTACAGATAATATTAGTTAAGGTACAAGACCCCTTTAACCATATCTGCTAAAAGTTCTCTTTGTATGCATTTATATTTCTGCTAAAATGATTGTGATAAAATTCATATTTCGATGTCATACCAAGTCATTTATACATAATTAGTTTCCCAAAACAAATTAAACGACCCCACATCTGAGGATTTCTCAGTACAAGAACGTGCGTTAGCTTCAGAAATGAAACGCCGAAAAACGCTCACAAATACTACAGATAGGTCATTTATGGTGTATTTTGTTAGGGTATTGACTACATTTTAGGAAATGGCAAACAAATGTTCACAAAAGAAATGGCAGAGGTTACGGTTATCATGAGCGCCAAAATATTGGCTATTGCTAACACTCTTCTTATTTGCATGACTGCCCCAGTTGCGTTACGTAATATATTAAATTTAAGACAAGAGAGATCATCGAAGTTATGTACACAACTTAAGCAGTTGGGAAAATAACTGAAGCCTGAGGAAAAACTTCAGGCTTAAACGGGACATTTTCTGAGCTAGTTTATTTTAACAACTGCTCAAGTTGTGTACATGAGATATCATGATCTCTCGTGCCTTTAAATCTTTGATTCGTTTTCCGCAGTTGCGTTAATATATTCAATTTATAGACATAAGAGATCATCAAAATTATGGACACAACTTTCCAGTTGTGAAAATAACTGAAGCCTGAAAAATATTCAAGCTTGAGTGAACGATCTATAATATCAAATTTATTATGCAAATCGCCGGATGCAGATCGCTTCACTCGACAAACTGTCATAGGCTGGTTTCCCATATTCCTCAAAAATTTCGTTTTTTGACTTATATTTCCGTAATATAGCAAACATGAGTTTTCCGGGAAGTTTTTTATCATAGATGTCAGAAACCAAAGAAAACCATTTTAGGCAGGAAAATTGTAATCCGTTTCAATTGAATGCATTTGACTTGTGTGTCGCGACATGTATATTCAATATATGGGTGGAGTGATCAACGTTTGCTCCTGCTAGCATTGTTTCTAATGACCAAAACATACACACAATATTATCACCCAGCAGGAAACTTGATTCCCTTGCTTGTTGACTGATTTTCAAGGGTCTACCTTCGCGATCTCTGATCCTGAGCGACATAAACTTGAAATGTCTGTGTTTATAAATACTTATTTACATTGCGGCAGGTTAACACCGTGGGTCACGCCGCATTAGTAAACATAACATATCAGCTTATTGGGGTTGTATAAGCACAGAATAACCTCTGGAGATTGTCCGCCAGCTCGTAGAGACCTGCTTGTGCAAATTCATGATTCTGATCGTGTGATCGGATCATCCATGGGCTTTCCCTTGCAGTAATAACACTTTGGTCACGTGATCACATACGACACGTGTACCAGCCACTAGCCATTGTAATAAATTTTGCAGCTCAAGGCAAGCGCAGCTGTGAAGTTCAGTCAATGTCATTCGCTTGAAAGATAATCTCAGTTTTCACCTGAATTCGCCGGTAAACGGGAATTTCGTTCTGTTGCCATCGCGAGGAAGAATTTTGGGTTTCATTTGTGATGGAAAGAATCCAAAACGGTGGGCCGAAAGCAAATGGCTTTGCAACGAAGAAGACGCTAAAGGGAATGGATCAACTGGCGTGGCACAAAATTTCATACAAAGCATTGTACGCTCTTCTCTTCGTTACCCCAGCTTTGGTTCAGTATGGTTTGGGCTTGCCGTTTTGGTGTTATCCGCTAGTCTTCGCTGTGCTATTTCTGCCTCTATTCGGAACTTTTATGATGCTTTTCAACCGAATGTGCGTCGCTGAAAACGCCACAAAATCAGTGAATGTCAAACGGTTCATCGAATTCAGTGACCCATGTCTAGCATCAAAATACGCCAACCGGAAGATACCTATGATAGTTCTATACGAAGCCTATGCAGACGGCAAGCTAGATTTCAAGTGCGATGTCTTAGAAGCGCTGGAAAACCGCCACCAATTTGCGACTTTTGAACTGACATTTTATCACGTCAAGTTTTTGCTTTGCAACTTTTTACCCGAAATGATTTTCCACTCGAAAAATCAAGACGCTGAACAGGTTTGCGATCACTACGACCGAGGCAATGACTTTTATCGTGGATTTCTAGGACCTGTGATGATTTACACTTCAGGAGTATGCAGAGACGAATCCGATACCCTCGAGGAAATGCAATTGAACAAACTCAAAATGGTGGGCGAGAAATGTCAGTTGAAAGAAGGTGAGCGGCATTTAGATATCGGCTGTGGGTGGGGTACCCTAGTCAATTATGCAGCAGAAAATCACGGAACCTACTCAGTCGGCGTTTCCTTAGCCAAGCGTCAAATAGAGTGGGGTGAGGCTGTGGCTTCAGAGAAGAACCTTGGGAGCCGTAGTAAGTTTTGGTGCATGGATTATCGCGATATACCAAGCAGAAAATTTGATAAAATCACCTGTCTGGAAATGGCGGAGCATGTTGGGGTGAGGAAGTTCCAGCCCTTCCTGGCCCAGGTACGTGACATGCTGGAAGATGATGGGATCTTCTTTCTTCAAATTGCTGGGCTGCGTCGAGCCTGGCAATGGGAAGATTTTATTTGGGGGCTGTTTATGGCAAAGTATATCTTCCCAGGTGCCGACGCCAGCTGTCCACTGGGATGGGTTGTCACAGAGCTTGAAAGGGCTGGGTTTGAGATCCACTCAGCAGAAACCATTGGTGTCCACTACTCCCTGACGATCAACCACTGGTATGATAACTGGATGAAGCCAGAAAACCAGGCAGCCATGACAGAGAAGTACGGAAGAATTGTTCGAATCTGGAACATTTTCCTGGCCTGGTCGACGATAATTGCACGCCAAGGCAATTCCACTTGCACTCAGTTGGTATGCCATAAAAATCTTAATGTATATGACCGCTTGAAATTATTTAAGGTAAAGTCAAAGTGAAAGCTGGTTAGTCTTGGTAATGTATTCAAATTCTAGGTATTCTGCTAAGGGCATCGTACATAAATCTTGAAGAACTAAATGTTTAGGGTATTATTCATGCTTATCACCTGGTCGTCATGTGATTTTTGCAGTCTAAAGGAAGATTTTTCTGAGTCATAAAAGAAATTGTCTTTCTTACAAATTATTGCTTTAGCAGACCCAAAAATCAGAAAATAGATTGACATTTTCCTTTTTAAAATACATCATATTTTTATGGTCATTGTTCAATCCAAGAATGGCTTATAATTATGGAAAAATATAATTTTAACTAGGTTTTCATTCAGAGACTCTACATCAAGTTCGTTTTCTATTTTTTTTAATGCCAAAACATTTCCACATTACAATTATTCAACTTTGGTTGTGTATCCTGTATTTGTTTCTGTAGAAGGCATTAAGATATTTTTACAAGACCACTGGTCATCATACAGAATTATTTATATCTTTCTGCTACAAAGTCTTCTGACTTTTGTTGATCAATATCAGAAGTGAACCTTTCCTGTGTATAAATTTAACAAGCTTGGTTCCTGTATGATTGACCATTGACAGTGATCTTCAGAACCGAAAATTGTTATGTAACTTGCTTAATTTACATTATGTTTATACTCAAAACAGAATAATTTTCCTTCATTTTAGCATCTTAAAGTCAGAAGGACAGTAAAACTGTTAGCTTGAGTACTGTCTCCATAGGTTATAGGATTTCTCTATAAAAATTTGAGTAGTTGTGTGATAATTCATACGCAACTTAGAAATGGAATGCATAATTTATTTGCTCTTGTATACAGTAAGTGAAAATTATTTGGAAAAGCAAGGGGGTGTTTTCTCAAAAGGAGTTGAACCTTTTGTCTTATCCAATCCTAAAATGAATTTTGGGTAAAATTGTGCTAGGTTGAATGAACTGTGGTTGTTTGAACAGCTGTTATGTACGGCAACATAACTATGATTGAATAGCATCTGCTTTGTTCATTAGCCACTTGCAATATTTTTGAATAATTAATTGTTTCAATGATCATGAGATAGTTTTTGCCTTAGATTTTAAGAATTATCTCATGACATGTTTACTAACAAGTCATTTTTTGCAAGGGAAGTTTGACTTGACTTATTCAAGTAACTTTTGTGGTTAAAAATACTATGATTCTAGTTTTCTTTCTGTGGATAAGATTTAATTTTAGAAGCCACTCCTTAATATTATTTAAATACAATATTATTTTGCAGGATTGGCTAAATTTCAATTGAAATTTTGAAAAAAGGTGATTTTAAAGATACATTCCTCTGTGGAGTGATTCAAGTTTTTAACTGAAATGATAGTGGTGGCTGGGTTGACAAGTAATTTTTGATGTTTTCTCTTCTTAGCCAAAAGTTAATTAGTTTGGTTTTCTTAAATTCTAAGTGTGTATGCAGAATGAAATGTTAGTTTTGTAAGCTTACAGGTAACAGTGGACATAAGGAAGGATCAATGTTCTGGAAATATTTTTTCTGCAGTACTCTGGGAAAAAGTTGGAGGTAGTGTCAGAAATCCATGCAAAAATAATGTTGGATCTAAGAAAGTTTCCTTAGATTTATTTCTGTAGAAACTGTCCTGTTAAGATGTGGTATTTTATATCATATGCTATGCTTTAAACACCAGGGATTCTTGCCTCAGTAAATTCCATTTGGCCATTGATGTTTGCTAAGTTATTATTATTTGAAAACAGGCTGTGTGAAAGTGTATGCCAAAAGTTGTAAGCTGCTGCTGATGTAATAAAGAGGTGCCTAAAGAAAATTTACTTAATGATACTCAAAATTAACAAGTATTTTTCCTTTCTTTTCAACTAAAAGAAATAGATAACATTTTTGCTGTTTCTATCAAGTTAGAGAAACACTTGTGAAGTTTGGGGAACTCAAGTCAAGACACTTGACTGGCCTGCGGCTTGTGTTTCCAGATCAATTCTTGTTCTCCTAAACCTTCACTTGTGTTTATATGATGAGATAGAAACTCAAAATATTCTTCTTTTTCTTAATAACTAGTTTCAAGCTGTAGTACTTATTGTGTGCAGTCAGTAGTTTAAATTAGTTAATTAGGTGATAAGCTGGCTTGCAACAAAAAAAAAGTGTTTTTTTGACATCGGGAATTTATGTTAATTTTAGTGGCTGTGTGTTTCTTAAATGATTAATATTATGATACCATTCAGCATCCAACTCTGAGTTGAATATGTTACTGGATACATTGAAAGCATATTTGCCTTGACTCAATCTGTTGCTGGATTAAAAATTAACTATAACTTGGCTACTAATCGTAATAAAACAATTTTTTGTTTGGTGTAGTACTAGTTAAAATCTGTTGATTGATCATAAGCTGTTTTCAATGCGTACTTGAACTATGAGGTTAAAACTGTGGTTTTTGTTGTCCTAAAAAATATTGTTAATATTTTTGGTGTGGTTTTTAGGATGGTGACAAGTTTCTATCCTTTGCTCTGTTTACTGTGTGAATACCGTATGAAACTGTGAGACTATAAGCTAATCACATTGCAGAAGAAGCACTGAACAGTGTAGCTATAGCAAGGCTGGTATGCCATTTATTCTATGCATTGCAACCAATCAGATGTCATATAGGCAACAGGTTATATTAAGTTTTATTTTCCAGTACCTTGTGCTACAGCTGTCAAGGGTGCCAGTTATTTTATCACTAACAACCTGCTTGGAATAAACAGCAGTGCACTACTTGAGAATCATCAAGGTTTACAACACCTTTTTCTCTGTTTATGCATTTGCGTAAACTAAAAGCTCTCTATATATTGAAAAATCAAGACATGCTTCGTAACGTTTTTTACATTTTAGTACTATTAATAGGTCTTCAGTCACCCTACTACAGTAGTATGGGTAAGGGGGCACTGGTTGTCTCACCCATATCCTAGTACATATTTGTTTTGTGTTTATTCTGCAATGTGATTTGAAAGGTTCTTATTAAACCAGTGGGAGTAAGAATCACTCCACCTACGAACCCAAGATATCTCTTAGTTAATTGATCTCGAGATACAAAAATGCAAACAGCTGGACTGGAGGATGCAATTTTTGCCGGCAAGAATTGTTTCCTGTTTTTTGCACATATATCACGAGTTCAACACAAGCTAAAATAAGAATGTTGGGTCTATTAGGGGCAGTTTTATAGTAATTGATTCATCTAGCTGTATACTATATAGATAATCTCTCATGGATTATTACAAGTGTTATTCAGTTATCTCTATTCATATTTTACCTGCTATGATAGTGTAAGGTTTTTATGTGCTAGCTTTTCCAAATGTTTACGTTTAATGTCTGTATTTTTGAAGACAAATTGCATGTTATTTGGGTGAGATTTAAATTAGCTACAAACAGCAATAGTAATTTACTTTCTCAGTTGACATTCCCATGAAAGATGTCCCATTTCTAGCCCAGAAAAATAAAATTCAAGCCATTAGATAAGAGACTAGTGTTGTACCGCAAGGTACGAAAGGAAGTTACATAGCAGGCCACAGCAGTATGCCTTTTGACCAGGGAAAAGTTAACTCCTAGCACAACTTTCTAAATCTCTTGACTAGATTGTTAGCATTAAATGAAACATTGTGTTAGATTAAGTTTGGTTGTTTTTGGCATGAATCTATGACATCCTCAGGGACTAGACACTGAGCATCAAAGATAATTTGGTTGTTTGTTTATAGTTTTGTTTGTTTGTTTACACATTAATAATCATGGGGGATAATATGGGAATGCTTAACCTTCAATGCAGTGTGATTAATCTCTAAAATCTCTGTACTATTTGGTAACAACTTTCAATTAGTAGTGAGGTCACAAATATGATGGACCTAGATCTGAATCAGGATTCTCCCAAAGTGAATTCTAAAAAAAATTGGGGAATTGTAAGGAGAATTGGCGCTTATGTGGGGTTGCAGTGGATATTTATTTTATTGATGCTCGAAATTTTAAAAAATAACTGCTGTGCAATATTTTGCATTTATTTACTGTTGCACTTATTTAGATACATCATGAACTGAACAGTTATTTAATCATGATTGTAACATTTTATTTCCTTTATGGGTATTTTAATTGAAATAAATTTCTGGCGTGAAAAGATGTGTAGTCTGTGTAATATTTAAGTCCAACTGTAAGTTCTGTTGTGTGCCACAAGAGTAGAATGCAAAACAGTCGTTTGCTTTTTGGCAAAGTGCTGAGAGCTGGAAAGGTCCCTTCCTGGCCCAGCTCTCAAGCCAGTAGTGTGTGGTCTCTCCCCAGTTTCCCTTAACTTATTAACACTCAGCCTGAGACCTTTTGTTTGAAGACAATACCTTGGCGAAAAGTACGACTCTTACAGTCTAGGTGAAATATTGCTATTTTGTTTGGCATGCATTGCAAATTCTGAGGATTCCCCATATGAAATTTTGCCGTAATGTCCGCAAAGTTGCACGCAAGAGAATTTCCTTCTCGATTACAAACATCCAAGCTTTGCAACAGTTGGTCATGTGATGTGCTTTTCAAGAACACACTGATCTAGTCATTGGAAATGCACAATGTTACCAGAAATGGGAAGAGCATTTTAAAAGTAAGCCTACAAACAATTTTATATCCTTGCCAGGTTAGGACCACATGGAAAAAGTAGATCTTTACAAGGGCTATTGGAATCCATGAAGAAAAATTGGGGTAGCCACGCATTTTTCGAGTTAGGGAGGCGCACTGGTCTCATGGTTAGTGCGCTTGTCTCCAGATCGAGCGGTCCGGGTTCGAGC